CAGCCCCAGGTCACCGCAGAACTCTGCCCCTCCCCTGGCGGGCCCTGGGCCAGCTGAGTCCCTGTGAGAATGCCCACCTCACAGCAGACATGAAGGGCAAAAGCAAAGTGCCCCCGAGGTCCACGAGACGTCTGGATCCTGACAGCCTCAGAGTAGGCAGAGGTCTTCTTGGAGTGCTTAAAGCACTGACCGTGAGACCTTTAAAAAGCCATAGCCTAGACTTCACAAAAATGCAAGACTCACCTCCCAGAGATGCTGGCAGAAAATAGCAGCATGTGTGTGTTTCTGACGAAGGTCTTGGATCTAAAAGCCTGTAACAGCCCCACAGCTCAGGAAGTGGTGCTGCCACTTTGGCCAGGAAGACACCGGGGCAAAAGCGTCGTGGAGAGGCTGCGGGCCGCCAGCTCGCCGGGGCCCGCACATCGCTGCCGACCAGGAGCGCTGGTCGTCCGGCAGGCTGGGCTGGCCCTCGGAGCACCCCGGCACCCGCATGGCACGCCGGTGCAGCCAGGCCTCCCAGCAGCCAGGGGGGTTCCCCAGCTGCACCCTACACCCTGACACACAGGCAATGGCCCGTGGCCTCCCAGCCTGTCCTCCTGCCGTGGCCGTTCGGAATCCCCCTCACCTCATGTGTCCACCGCCTGCAGGGGACCCAGAGCCCCCGCAAGAAGCTCCTGCCCACGGCCTGGGGTGGGGCATGAGCCCCGGATCCCGCCCTCCCCTCAGGGGAGGGCCACCCACTCCTGGTTGCCCACTGGCACCCGATGACAGGAGGGTGAACGACTTACAAAACTGTTACCGTTTCCTGCATGTGGTTCTGAGCTGGCCGAGGACCCTGCACATAACCACATGGGACCACTCAAGGCCTCTGAGAAGGGATGGCAGCTGCCCAGCAGACAGCCCTGGGCCACCATGGCCCCCCAGTGAGGCCCAGGGGTCAGCCTTTGCGTGGTCACTCAGGGACGTGTCTCAGGCTCCACTGGGCGTAGAGGACAGGGCAGGCTGGCACAGGCAGGGACAGATTCCCCAGACCCCACTGTCCGGGAGCCCTCCCGCATGGCCGGGCCAAGGGCCATGAAGCCAAGCGAGGTGGCGTCAGTCAGGTTCCCAGACACCCCCACTTCTGGTGGCAAAGCCCCTCCCCAGTGAGGGGCTCGCTGCAGGACCCAGGGGCTTGTTGTTCATGCAGCTGCTCTGGACCTATACTGATCAACCACGACAGTGGCCACAGATGCATATGTGGAATCAAACAGCAAATCCGATCTCACACCTGTGGGTCAGGATCCGGGCGACCTCCAGATGGGGCTCAGAGGCCAGAGTCAGGGTGAGGCAGGCCCCCACTGGAGGCTCTGGGGAGAACCCGGCCCAGGTGCTCCCAGGGCCCAGGCCACCGCCTGCTGCCTGTACCCCAGCCTCCCACCTGCGCTTCTGGGAAGGGCCAGTGCAGGCCCGGCCCTGGGTGCGGGATTGCGCAGCAGGCCCACGCATGCGGCGGCTGGAGAGGGCCGGCCGGGCGGACTGTGCCGCGGACGGCGCGTCCCCGCTCAGCCCCCGTCGGTGGCTTGTCCCCCCAGGCAGTCCTCATAGTCAGTGGGAACCTGAGCTTCCTGAACTGGCTGACCATGGTGCCCAGCCTCGCCTGCTTCGATGATGCCACCGTGAGCTTCCTGTTTCCCTCTGGGCCTGGCGGCCTCAAGGACCAGGTCCTGAAGATGCAGGAGGAGGAAGCCCAGGGGACCCAGCTGAGACACGGTGGGTGGACCCCCGAGGGCACAGACAGCCCTCTCCCCCGGACTCCCGGCTGCTCCCACCTCCCGAGGGCAGCAGCGCGACTCAGTTTCCACCTCCACCTGGGAAGGTGTCGCTGCCTCGGGGAGAAGGGAGCTGTGGACAGGGGCCCCTCTCCAGCTGCCAGCTGCCCGGCAGAGAGGCAGGCAGGGCGTGGGATGCAGGGGACTCACCACCGCCCCTCCCCAGGCTGCATGGCACGGCGCGCAGTCCACCTGGCACTGGGTGTCCTGGTCGCCTGGCTCAGCGTCCCCGTGGTGCTCAACCTGCTGAGCCCCCAGCAGGTCATGAACGTCTCCTTCAACCCCCTCAGGATCGTCAACACATACGGGGCCTTCGGGAGGTATGCTGCCCACTGGGAGGCAGGGTAGAGAGGCACCCCCTCACCCCAGGGCAGCCGCCCCGTCTGCTCGAGCGCAGCAGGGCGCTGAGGCTCGGCCGCTGTGGTGGGCGGAGCCCTGACTCGGCCCCCCTCAGCGTCACCAGGGAGCGTGTGGAGGTCATCCTTCAGGGCACGGCCAGCCCCAACGCCAGCGCACCGGGCACCGTGTGGGAGGACTACGAGTTCAAGTGCAAGCCCGGCGACCCGTGGCGGAGGCCCTGCCTCATCTCCCCCTACCACCACCGCCTGGACTGGCTCATGTGGTCTGCGGCTCTCCAGGTGGGTCCTGGGTGCACGAAGGCTCCGGTCACCCCAGGGTCCCTGAGGCCTCAGTTGGGAGGCAGCTGACCCAGCCACACGGACGCCCCGTGCTGGGCCGCGCACCCTGGCGAGCAGGCATCAGACTGTGTGCGTCTGCACAGCAGGGTCCCCAGAGGCGGGGCACCCACCGTGCTCAAGCCTGACCAGGGGAGGGGGGGAGGCTGGGAGCAGAGAGCATGCCCCCCACAGGCCCTAGGCGGCGCTGAGGGTGGGGCCCACAGTCCAGCCCTTCTCCCTCCCAGACCTACGAACATAACGAGTGGGTCATCCACCTGGCAGGCCGGCTCCTGGCCAACGATGCCCAGATTCTGTCCCTGTTGGCCCTCAACCCTTTTGAGGGCAGGGACCCCCCCAGGTGAGACCCCCT